CCGAAACCATCTTAAACTTTTCGACAGGCACTCAAGCGCACATCTTTTCAATGCTGCTGAACATAGGTTCAACATAAGAATGTCACAAAGCCGGATCCTGAGCCATCTGCATCCATCGACTTCCTGCATGTCTTATCAGGTCGTCAATGCGTCACTCCATTTATTGCGGCTCGAGTACTTTTCTTTTCCATCGGGTGTCAGTTCTTCGAGCTAGTAATCCATGATTATTGAAGTATTAATTTTTTATTGACACAATGTAAAGTTAAGTAAAGTCCAGAGTGACCGACATAGCCCAACGGATTAGTAAGCTGAAGTGGCAATGGGCCAGCCATATAGATCGAAGAACCGACAACCGTTAGGGAAAAAAGGTTCTCGAATGGCAGCCTCGTACCGGTAGGCGAAGTGTAGGGCGACCCCCCACTAGATGGAGTGACGACCTGGTAAGACATGCGGAAAGTCGATGGATGCAGGTGGCTCAGGACCGTGCTTTGTGGCATACCTTGGGGGAGAACTATGTTCAGCAGTGGACTTGTGAAGGGATGTGTTGATGCTGATGATGATGAATGTAAAGTTTACATTATTTTTCTTTAATATATTTGATTATTTTTCTTTAATATATTTGAACTTTTATGCATTAGCCTTTAAACTAGGCCGAACCCGTATCTTCGATAGTAGTTTTGTCGTTCGTAGTTTCTTCCAATGACACCATTATTCGCACTCATAAAAGTATACGGCATATTATGATTTACTTCATCTAATACACATTATAAATTCGTAAACATATTGGTATTTTTTATTTGCATTTACCGTCACACTGATTTATTATTCGCATGAAGGGTTAGATTACTATTTATGGGAACTTTATTTTTTTGTTAGTTTAAAATGCGATAAATGATTATTGTTGTCACAAGCCAAATAATTATTTTGTGATAGGTTACGGCAAAGGGTATATATGCAATATACCTCTAAATAGCAATTCTATAGGTATTTAATAAAAGTTATGTAATGTACAGCAAACAGACAGACCTAATATATATATATATATATATATATATATATATATATATATATATATATATATATATATATATATATATATATATATATATATATATATATATATATATATAATAATACGTCTGTCATAGTGTATTTAATTAGTTGTTTTTTCAAAGGTTTTTTTTTGTATTAATTTTAAATTATGTTTCGATTTAATGAAAGATAGTTTAATAGGTGGCCATATATTAAAAAGTAGTATACAGGGTTATCTTTCAAAGATTAGACAAATTTTAAGCTTAAGTTTAAAAATATAAATAATGATTTATCGTTATCGCACTTGTTGAAAATACGACTAAATAAGGCTTTTAATTTTATTTGAAATCGTCTCAAATTATATGTGATTTATTGCCACAACGTTTTTACCTACCCTCGTGAATGTGTGCGTGCGCAGTGAGATCAGTTAAAATAATGCATTACCACGCAATTTGGATTTAAAAGATCAAAGGGACGGAATGTTTGAGAACTTTAAATTAATTTTTCTTCACCATTTGCCTACATTGCTTATTGTGAACGTTCTCTGCAAATTTGGCTGGTTATTGCAAAATAGCCCTGTATATTAAGGGGAAATATAACCTCAAATGGCTTTTTCCTGCCGCACGGTTCCAAGCTTCAGGACGCCGATAGTTTAGGTAATTTTTTTACAGTGAAAATAATGGTAATTTAAAAAAACATAAGGACTTTATAGGCTTTATAGTTAGTTCAGTTGGTATGCAAAGTTTCATGATCTTATTTAAAGTATTTTACGAATAACGGTTTATTGTTCAGTTTGGAGGTAACTTTGGATTTTTTTTTCTATCGAGAAAATTTTACGGAATCATGTTTTCGTCTAACATAGTACTCAACATTAATCCTCAACTTTATCATATATTTATTTCAAAATTAATGCTGCAATATTTTCGGTATAACGGAGGATCTTGCTAAGCGATTTGAGGTTATATTCCCCCTTAATAGCGCTAGCTGATTCCGCTAAGACGATAAAAGCACTGACGTCTGTGTCGGGGCGCGGCGCGATGGGCGGCGGCTGCCGGAACACGGGTGCGCTGCCCGCCGCGCGCGCCGCTAGCCCCGCGCCGCACGCCGCCGCCTTCTGCACGCACACACACAAACATTTGTTGCAACACGCCACAATCGTCGTTAACCTCTTACATTTTAACGTAGACAGAGAAACCTATAGACAAATTGACGCCTTCTTTCGCATTCGCACACGATAAAGATAGATTTATGCATACGTCATGCATAGAAATGAGACTTAAACAATTTAAACAATTAAAATTTGTGATTATTGTATAACCTAAAACTATGTTATTGTCCTTTCTCATTCGAGGCCATGCTAATCAGTAGTCTGTAGGTTTCTCTGCCTGCGGTGTGGAGATGTTAAAATGCGTTCGTAAAAATTTTTAATTGTTCTAAGAACTGAACTGAACAAGATTCACCAATCTTAAGCTCACAAAAGACTTTTTTTCTCACTTAAACCAACTTGTAAACTCCTCAGATCGCTACGTGCTGTCAAAGTTGTTTAGCAAAGTGTAGTTTGCTAAACAAAAAAACCGGCACGGAGAAAGGGACAAACAATCACACCGCTCTGTCTCATTTCTAAATCTATCTTTTTCGTGTGCGAATGCGAAAGAAGGCGTCAATTTGTCTATAGGTTCCTCTGTCTACGCTCCACACACACCAATTCACAAATGTATTTTTTATAAGATAAATGTGACAAACGAGAGTTCATCTGACGGTAAGTGGTTTCTGTGGTCCATAGACACCTAATTCTATCTTCGATTACGAATCAAAATGCAGATGCGTCACTCGTGAGGACTAAAATGTAATGCCTCGTTTCCAGTAAAGGGGGTCTCTGATCTATACACTCACCATACGAAACACAGTGGCATTAAACTACTATTTTACGCTGTTATTCTGTGAGAGACCATGCTCTCAGGTCAAGCCGACTCATTCGAAAAAAACTATACATGTTGTAATGAAATATAGATAACTTTATAATTCCTCAGATTTACGTAAATGGTTATTTTAAATCGTGTGAGTACCCTTGTGTAAAGTTATTGCTAAATGATTAATGTGGAACGTCAAAAGGTATTTCTTAGATTTGGTTGACTATAGGCACATTTGAAATAAAATTACATAATTATCCGAAATAAATTTCAAAACACATTGACAAAGTGCGCATATAAACAATGTCAACGTTTTCATAGTCGCACTAATGAAAATAAACCTTTGCGGTTTACAAAACAAAGAAGTAACCAGAAAATTCTAGAAAGAAGTTACGGTGAATTGACCGTAACTTAGTGGGCAATTTACGAAGGCATAGAGGCCATCTGGATCTAGTGGTATACATAGAGCAGCCTTTGTTGTTTCTTGTATTTTTGTTTAGTGGATTCAAGCGTTTTGATTAAAATTAACACTACTATTGAGGACTAAGATGAAATGCCACGTTTTCAGGAAAAGTGGTCCTCTTACACTCACCATACGATACTATTATACACGGTAGTATTAAGCTGCTATTTCACAATGATTTCTTATATTTACGCGAACACTACACATTAACTAAAACTACTTTTATGGATTTTATCACGTTTAGTTTTAATTATTTTTAATTCCCGACGTTTCGCGTGCTTTCCAGCACCCATGGTCACGAGGGACTGAGGTAACTGACGTTCCGATGTCAATTTAACCCGGAGTACCTTCAGCTTTTTTATTATTGTTTATGGTCTGATCTACGCAGAATGAACTAACTGCATCTTGAAGTCTTGCAGTGGTATGCTTGGGTTTAGTTTTAATTAAATTAATTACAGGGTCCCAAGCAGGTGGTAGTACCCAGTCTCCTTCTCTATTGAAATTAGGATGTTTTTTAATTTCAATAGCCTCACGTATCATCCATGGTAGGAATCGATGTTCTTTCGCAAGGATTTGTGGTCTATCAAATCTGATGTAATTCTATTTCACGCTAGTATTCTGCGAGACCTTGGAATAACCACAATACACCAACGTGACTCTACCAAGTTGTACATGTTATTCAGTTGATAGTTCTACTAAAATAAGTTTTAATAGAATTACTAACAGAACTTTTATATTAAAATATCTTCAATATGTAATTAACAGTGAAGCAATACAAGTAATATAATATGGTGTTGAATTAAACTATTTTCATCGCGCTTAATTTTACTTGTTTTTAATTCGGGGTTTCGAGTGCTTCATCCTAGATGGCTCCCGAATTACATCAGATTTGATAGACTACAAATCCTCACGAAAGTACATCGATTCCGACCAAGGACGCTACGTGAGGCTATTGAAATATAAAAAAAACATCCTAATTTCAATAGAGAAGGATGCTGGAAACTACCTCCTGGGGTCCCGTAATTAATAAAATTAAAACTAAATCCAAACATACCACTAAAAAACTTCAAGGATACAGTAAGCAAAATCATTCTGCGTAGATCAGACCGAAATTAATAATTAAAAAGTTTAAGGTACTCCGGGTTATCTTTGACATCCGGACGTCAATTATCTATAGTTCATAAAAGATAGCTTGATATCTGCGACAGCTGTCAGTAAAAATCACGCCTATGAAGTCCTGAATTTCTTAGTAGTACAGACATTACCTGTCAATGTCATACTTTATGGGCATGTCGACCTAATTAGTGCATCGTTAATAAATAATTCTTGGTACGAGTCGAGTAGCGTCTCACTTTAGATACTTTCAATTCGGTAATTGGCACAAATGTGTGAGTGCGTGTGTGTGTGTGTGTGTGTGTGTGTGTGAACGTGAGTTGTATACACATTTATATATATAATATATATATATATATATATATATATATATATATATATATATATATATACATATATTGTCCTTGTTCATTAATGAGTTTTGTTAGTTCTTTTTCATACTTTGAGAATTAAAACAAACAAATAAATAAATGCGGCGTGACCTGTTTCCGTTGGTGCGCGCACACGTGCCCGCAGGCGCAGCGCGGGGCGCTCGCACTCGCCAGCGGGTTGCCCGCTAACGCCAGGAGCCGCTTCAATCTGGATTTAATATAAACAACAAACAATCCTATAAAAGTCTACTTCTGAACATATGCCTTCCCCATACATAGCCTCAAAGGGAGCGTTTTGCCAAAGGTGCCACGCAACTAATGTTTGAGAATTTCCTCCCTAACACGCTAAGAATATCCATTATCCCGTATCATACCGTGGGTGTCGCAAGAGACGAGAAAGGGAAACAAATCAGGTGATGGGCAACAGTATCTTCCTAATAAAGGCTAACATTAAAAAAACTGCGATTGCCACCCCGCTTGCCAAACGTGGTAACTATGGCAAAATTCGCCTACACGGAAATGTATGTTCAGCAGTGGACTTTAATGGGCTGTAACGACATTTAAAATACTTATAATAGATATATAATATATAGATATTTTAAAGTTTGACACCTGCAGGTTTTCATTACACTATTAGAAGCGTGGTTCGAGCTGTACTGACCTGTCACTGAGCTGGTTGAAGCCACTTTCAGGTGGTAGTGCCGTGGGCCGATTGATGAGCTTGGACACCAGCTTCAGGGTCCCACAGCCTAGGGCTGCTGGCTTGTGCTCTGGAGACGCCTGTTGCTCGTCTGGAGATAACACCGATCAGAGATTAGATTTATTTTATGGAAAAGGGGGAAACGAGCATACAGGTCATCTGATGGCAAGTGTCGACCGCCATCTACTGCAAAACTGCAAAACCAGGGTAATCGTAGGTGCGTTGCCAGCCTTTCATAAAAGAGTAAGTCGTATCGGTCCGGAAAAATCACTGGTAAACAAGCATCTAGATGGTGTGAAGATTTATACCGCATCAAAATAGGAAGTTATGGATTCCTAATGCTACATTCTGTGGATTTATTGGACAAATTCGGAAAAAACTCAAGTATATACAAGAAGACATAATATATATACTAAACACACACTACTAAAACATATATAATATATATATATATATATATATATATATATATATATATATATATATATATATATATATATATATATATATAGTTTTGTTTTCAAGCACGTTATGTCCTGTAAAACGCGTCGTAAAGGAAATCAAAACGTACCTAATTCAAATAATATAAATCAAACATTATTTGAAAATTAACGTGTTATGATGACTGCCATTTTTTAATTATAAGAGGAGAGATATTAGTAAAGAATCAATTCCGGTGTAAGAAAGTTGATGTTAAGTCTGGAGTACCACAAGGTAGCGTTCTAGGTTCAATTCCCTTTTCATGTAAATGATCTTTATAAATTAAAATAAGACCATACGCATATTTAAATCAATTAAAACATCGTATTATTATTATTGTGCAGTATTTACTCACTTTTTCTCTCGTCGCCAGATATTCCATCATTACTATCTTGACTGAATGTATTCTTAGGCGAAAAAATATCTGTGTCACTTTCTCTCGCTTTTTCTTTCTCATCTTCAGTAGTAACTTCAATCCCTTTATCAAGAGTCTTGTCAAGTTTTTCTTTTTTCTCCGTATTTTTATCATTGTCTATAGTGGAAGGTACTTTTTCTGTGTCAGTATTTCTCTGTGCTTTATGCAAGGGTTGTGGTAATGGTGGAGTGGGTTCCGCCCACCAGTAATCTAACTCTAGTTTTGATCGAGAGCCAAACTGAAAACAAATTCATTTGAGTGCCGAATGGAAAATTTGTTTATTGCACATCAAATTTACTTCAAGAGTCCTAGGAATGTCACGCGAAACCTTTATCTAATTAAAAGAAGGTTCATCGAATTTAAGATATAAATATAAAGATAGAACAAAAGAATCCTAAATGAGAATATTTGTGGTATGGATTTTTATATACCAGTGACATAAACAAAAGAGTGACTTTCAATAAGTACTATTTATAATCTATATTGAATAAAAAAGTTTCTGTTTTTGTTTCAAAAAATGATTTAATTTTTACGTCATGCTTCAACCTCTAAGGAAAATGATTTTCAGTGTAAAATAAAAGAAGTATACAACACATAACATAATTAACGCACTTTGAGAAAGCAGTTTGTTCAGAATCGTTTACTGAATTGATTCCTATAATGGGTAATTTTTTATCCCAAAAATAATTAAAACTACGTAAATTACAGTCACACAAATCTGTATAGTCAAAACAAACTGAAATGGACCGTAACTTAAGCCAATAAGACTTTTAAGAGTGCAGTTTTATTTGTATTATTACTAATTCTGTCATTCAATAAAAATAAAGAAAAATGAACTTTATTTCAAGCATGTTAAAGTCCTTGCATTCGTGGATTTGTACTGTGACCACACCATTCTTCCGGAATTAGTAGAACTAATTTGATAAATAATTAGTGCATAAAAATGTTTAACTAAAGATTCAGTGTATGTATTATGATTATAACATAATATACTAATTGGGGTGTCTGAGGGTGTGCATTAATTATGTTACATATTGTATATGAAAATATATTACTTACCATAAGATATAGGTCGCCAATAGTCAGGTCCCCTGCATCGTAAATGCTCCAACCTTTTCTGACCTGCTTGATGGCTGTTTCGATATCAATATCAGATTTCTGTTCTTCTTCTATCTTTGGAGGTTCCTGTTCGCTTTTGATCTCTTCATTTTCCTTTCCCAATACAAGAGTGTACAAACTTCCACCGCGCTTTTTAGGCCTTATGCGAAATTTCACCTACAGGACGACGTGACATTAATAGTCTTAATGTTTAATAGTAATAATGTTTTAGCGTTTTACGCTATTTAACTTCACATACTTACAAAATAGACATTTTATTCACACACAGAACACATCCTCTATTAAATGCTTATTTTGGCTTAATTTTTAGTTTTTTAACCCCCGACGAAAAAGAGGGGTGTTATAAGTTTGACCGCTGTGTGTGTATATGACTGTGGTACCGTAGCTCTTAAACAGGTGAACCGATTTGGGTGCGGTTTTTTTAATTTAGAAACAGGTTTTCTAGCGGTAGTTTTAAGACATGTTTTATCAATATTGGTTCAGCCGTTTAGAGATCATCGGATTTTTTCGGGGTATATTATTAGTAGTAGTAGTATAAGTATATTTAGGTTATTTTTTATAGAATAAGGGTGACAAACGACTTCACAGTCTATGTTATGGTAAGTGTATGCTGTGACTCATAGACATCTCATCTCATCATTAATCTTCGATTAAGAATCAAAATGCAGACGCGTTATTAGCCGTGAGGACTAAGATGTAATGCCGTAACTCCGGCCACTACACTCACCATACGAAACACAGCAACATCTAGTTACTATGTTACGCTGTTTTTCTGTGAGAGCGTGGCCCTACCCCGGTTGGGCAGACCCATATGTGCAATAACCATAATATTGCTGCAGCATGGCTCTACCATGTATAAAGTATGGTAGGAACGGTGTTAAGACTTATTATATGTGTGATGCAAACCCGTCTACCCTGGCTTAGGGTTCTTCTAGCGGAGTACTAGAGTTTTGGGATTTCTGATAAGAATAAATCAGATAATATAATCTAATGGGCCTGTGTTCAGCAGTGGGATTTTGATAGGCTGTAATAAATGAACAAATGAACGACGTAATGGGTTACTGATAAATTAAAGAAAAAATAATTTACACCAAGCAATAATGTTAGTATTCAGATTTTTTAAAAATTCTTATAGTAAGATGAAATATACCTTCAGGTTTTTAAACTTCCTCCCCTTTCCGTTTTTATCCACTTTACCGTCACTTTCATTATCTGTATCGCTTTTGTTAAATTTTTCGTCATCTTCCAGTTCAGAAAAACTATCCTTTTCCTTTTCTGACATAATATCTTTATCTCTTTCTGGTTCCCTTTCTATATCTTCTTCGGCAGTCTCCTCGGCCTTTATCTCTTTCTCATCTTCTGTACTTGGCTTTTCTTCATCTTCCTGTAGATGTTTGTAGCTCGCCATTAGCTCGATTCCATCTATCGCTGTTTCGTCTATATGTACTACTTTCTGTGGTTCAGTGTCTTCGATTTTGATTTTTTTACTTTCTATATCTTTCTCTGAAACGCTATCCTTCCTTTGACGTTTTGGGGTTCTTATTTTTGCTAAAACCAATTATTTCAATTATGAAATTATCTTGTATTTTTCTATCAATATCGCGCAATGAAAAAATATGCTATCTTTTACTCTAAATGTCAACTTCACCGACACGAGATGCCTTCTGCCGAATGTCTGACGTAGACTAGCTTTGGCGACCGACTGGTGGCAGAAAATCAAATCAAATATGCTGTATGTGTGTATATAAATTTCATAGACTGGTGATGGGTAGCGGGATGGAACTGATATATTTTATTTATCTACCTGACAACGCATCCATTTTTCACTAATCGTATATGGCTATTTATGGCTATTTTTTTACATGGGGGAAATACCAACGCATACCCGCCTCGCAAGGGTAAGGACGAATTGTCGGACTCGCACCGACTAAAACCCTATGGTGTTCCACCTTCATCGCATATTGGCATGGTCACGAGAACGTTTTCACACATATCCGCAGCCCAACCAGAACTGGCCGTTCCATGGCGGCCTCCCCTTGGGAGAGGACCACTCCTCCCCCATCTCTTACCTAGGTAAGGCGCACCAGGACACATGGCCCGCCCTTCGTAGCCTCCAACTTCACATGCGATACAGATGCCTCCGTGTCCAATACGCGAAGGTCATGGGGCCAGGAAAAACGAGTACTCAGAAGCATAAGCCGACCCCAGCGGCAGATCTGGTCTATGGCTACGCCGCCAACCAAGATTCGGCTGCTGAGGGTAGGGAGAACGGCGCCTCGTAATACTGACATTCCAATCCCCTCGCAGCCTCACCATCACCGCAGTCGCAGAGGATAGGGCGAGTGGCGCATCGCCATGCCAACACTCCTCTTCCTCCGCGACTCTATCTCGACTGCAGCAGTAGGGAGAGGCGCGCCACCTACTGTAAGTTAATTGTACTATGTTTATAACCTTCACGCAAGTGCAAGCAATAAGCTAACAAAGTTTTAGCGCAATCTGATGAACGGTATGGCAGCGCATAAAATACGAACAAAAAAACATTAATTTATATATATTAGATTAGCAATTGATTTTAATTTTATATAAGTATTTATGACATATATAATAATATAATAAGCTTTAACATCTTCCGAGTGTAAATGATAACGTTGTGTATACTTTACTTATGGATTAGACACATATAGACGTACGTTTCCTTCATATTTAATAGAATCTTAAACAACATAGCAGGTTTTTAAAATTTTTGGTAGATAAGCATACTTTTTCTTACATTTGTATAAAAATTTATAACATATTGCACAAGAAATGTAACATAATACCTGCTCATGAAGACAATAAATTTTTATTAGCCGTTTACCAGATAAAATCTCTTTGTACAAAAATCATTTGCAGTCCGTTAGTCTAGCTAAAGCTCAAAAACGTCTGGACGGATTTTGATGAAACTTTTTGTGCAATTGAATGGGATCTCTGAATGGTTTAGATACACAAATGAATACGGTAGGTGGCGCTGTTACCGATATCGATAGATTCACAAATTACTACGCGCTATCGGATCGCTAGTAAGACATAAAAGAGCATTGCGAGCTTTCTTTGTATGAAGTTGGCTGCAGATGTAAATGGACTGTAGGAGCCAATATCTATCTGGTGGAATGTAAGTTTATTTGTCACGTCTACAAAATTGTAAACTAACATAGAAAATAAAAGAAAACCATTCAGATATACAATAAAATAAAATCGATACAGTTTTGCAGTAGGACGATAACTTTGTCAATCTTTCATCTAAGATGTTTTCAAACTTATAGATACGTCCTACTCGCTCTAGAATGGCAATACGAAAGTCAGGTAATTGCCCGACTCGCATTCAGTCGGGCACGTTCTCAGTCACGCCAATAAGCGCTCAGAAGCAGGCAATACGTAACTAATAATGTATATTCATCTTTTTCTAACGATAGGTATGCCCTATCATTGGTCTCTTTTTTTAGCGCAACGTGTCATAATAAATAACTGTGAGTAGATATAATACTACCTGCGCCACTTTAAAATACAATAATGTAAGTGTGTAACCTGTCTATCCTTTTTATACGTTTTTGTTTTTCATAGGTATAACAGTCCGAGCTGCAGCTGTCTCCCGCAATGACTGATATAGGCAATCAGTCGTACGGTCGGCGCGACAGTACTACACCGTTAAAAACTGTATTTACAATTTATTGCAGCCCAGATATTATCCTCTTAAGATTTAAAATATGAAAAAGCATTAACAAATTAACATTTTACAGTATAATTTATTTTAAACTTATGATAAACTAGTGTTTGACTACAAACCAGTAAGTGGTCATAAAGCCTTAAATGGTAAAAGAGAGAAAGGGACTTACTATTGCCATCTTTGTCTCGTGGCAACGACCCCATCCTTTCCAAGTAGGAAGAGAAACAAATCTTCTGGCTGGACAGAGCCTCGCTGGGACTTACAACTGGAAGGTGAATTTCGGCACCCGGGCGCGGGCCCAAATGAAGGGTAAGTTTCTTTAGTCGGAGTTGTTCTGGAGGTAACATAGAAGACTTTTTTTAATCTTGAATATACAACTCAAATAATAATATATAATGTTATAAAAGGTGGACTTAATGCCTTATGGTATGTTCTACCAATCAACTCTGGAAGACATTTTCTTAGATAAGTTAAAAAGTTATAGCCTAGATACGTCCCACGGCTGGGCACAGACCTACCCTCACTTTTGACAGGGTTTTTTTGGGCAAGTAAGTGTCCGCCGCGCTGCTAAATGCGTGTTGGAAGTCTGCAGTTTTTGGTCATATCCTAGGCCCCCTCGCGAAAGAACATCGATTCCTACCAAGGATGATACGTGAAGCTATTGAAATTAAAAAACATCCTAATTTTAATAGAGAAGTAGACTGGGTACTACCACCTGCTCGGGAACCTGTAACTAATAAAATTAAAACTAAACGCAAGCATACCACTGCAAGGCTTCAAGATACAGTTAGTTTATTCTGCGTAGATCAGACCATAAACAATAATAAAAAAGCTGAAGGTACTCCGGGTTAACATCGACATCGGAACGTCAGTTACCTCAGTCGCTCGTGACCATGGGTGCTGGAAAGCACGCGAAACGTCCATATTTTTTTGCTTTACCTACAGAAAATGCTAGATGCAAGAGAAAACGTTTTTGAATACGTTGAATACGCAATGAATGTGTAGCATAGTGTGGTCCACCACACTACAATATTCTAAAATATTACGAACTAGACTATTGTAAAGCAATATTTTAGTTTTATAATGCATAGTTTTCAAGTTTCAAAGTTTATACGTGGTAGAGCCATGCTGCAGTTATATTAGTGTAGTATAGTTGTAGCACGAATGGGTCGGCTCGACCAGGGAAGGACCACGCTCTCACAGAATACCAGCGTCAAATAGCAGCTTACTTGGATTAGAACCGGAGACCCTTTTTACTGGAAACGAGGCATTCCATCTTAGTCCTTACGGGTGACAATGCATCTGCATTTTGATTCGTAATCTAGGATACATGTAGATGTCTATGGGCCACAGCAACCACTTACCATCAGGTGGACTGTGTGCTCGTTTGTCACCCTATCCTATAAAAAAATTCCTTATGACAACCTAAGAAAGTTAATTTTTTGTCGCATATTACGCCAAGATCTTGAATGGTCTCTACTTCCGTAATTTTATATTATGAATAAAGTAACTGACCTGTATCAAATTCGGTTTTCTGGAGTATTTAACATTCAACATTCATTTGTATTTGAGCACCTTCTGTTATTGCTGTACCATTGGGTAAGTCTATCAATGTCACTTTATAATAATTTAATACCATCATCGCTCTTAATTATTCTTATAAATTTTAAATCATCGGCATACAAAAATATTTTGAAAATAGAAAACATTCTTTAATGTCCTTTACGAAAAAATTAAATTAAATTAGTCCTAAATGAGAACCCTGAGGAACACCAGAACTAGTTTAAGTATTTGATTGAAAACCATTAATTGCAACAAAGAAGGCCCATTGCACTAAATTCAAATTCGGCCATTTGAGTAATGAGCCAAAAATCCCGTAGGCATACAATTCAGAAATCAAAATCTTATGCGAAACCCTATCAAAAGCTTTGCCATGTTCAAACAGGAACTCCGTAAAGGGAACTGAATTGGTACTAGTTGACCGGGATGTGAAGAATCCATGCTGATGATTAGTTATAGAAAGGCATATATGTTGTTGAACATTAATACAAATCAACGACTCAAATACTTCGGCAATAGTTGACAGAATTGAAATTGGTCTATAGTTGGAAATTATAACGATATTTGATGATTTATGTATGGGAAATACTTTTGTTGTTTTCCATTTTGAAGGAAACACACCAGAAGATATAGACAAGTACATTATTTTTTAAAGGATTTATCAATTCCAAGGCACATACTGTTACAAAAATTGGTGCATACCACCAATTTTTATTTGGCCCTGCGCCTTTATTACAATCTAGTCCCTTGAGTTTTTTTTAAATATTGCATTATGTTATATTTTTGGATTTGAGAGACATAAGTTGTTATTTACTAGTGATTGGAAGTAATCGAACATGCATTCATCCTAACTATCGCCATCATCTAGGCTATAAACTGAGGAAAAGTAAGAAGCAAACATCTCACATATAACTGAACTATCTGAGGTCGAAGATGATCCATCGCTCATAGTTGTCGAAAATCTACTTGACCCACCCCTCTAGTCTTTCACCATCGACCAAAAGAGTTTGGAATTTTTCGTGTTATGTTTTTAATTTGGTTTTGATTTATAATAAGGTACAAATTTTCATACAGCTATGTATAGAATTTCGTAAAAGATCTCAAGCCATTCATTCACATCACACATTCCATCAAACTTCTATCTTTGTGCAATTTTAAAAGTAAAGAAAATAAACCATACGTATCGCAAAACTTTATTAAATCATTAGTTTTATTCATCATTTAATATTAATGTACGTTTCTTGACGTATTAGTGCGGTAAAAAATAATAAATTTAATGGGAGTGGGTAGGTAGAACGGATTAGTAAGCTGAAGTGGCAATGGGCTGGCTATATAACTCGAAGAACTGATAACCGATGCGGAAGAAAGGTTCTAGAGTGGCAGCCTCGTATCGGTAGGCGTAGTGTAGGGCGACCCCCCACTAGATGGAGTGACGACCTGGTAAGACATGCAGGAAGTCGACGGATGCAGGTGGCTCAGGACCGTGCTTTGTGGCATTACTTGGGGGAGGCCTATGTTCAGCAGTGGACTTGTCAAGGGCTGTAACGCACGACGCACGACTCTGTAGCAAGCGACGGGGACAATGGTACGAGATTGATACGCCAATCTTCCTGGCCAAACGTGGCGATTAAGGTAAATCCTCCTAACAGGAGGGATATATAAGAATTACTACCATCTGATTTTATGGTATAATGGAATCTGTATAACACGAATGTCAAGGGAAATGCAAAAAAATCGAGTTAACGAGTTTTCGACTTACAGAGGCGCGATTTCTAAGTATATTTTTCGATTTGTAGAGTCGAATTTGAATAACAATTCAACTTAAGTTTTATAAGTATATATTTTTTACATATTAAAACAAATTACATATTAATAAAGTAAACTGTACACTAAAAAATCCGGTATCTTTATTTGATTTAAACTATTTGCAGATTTTTTCAAGCTCAGCCACAGCCAAAATAAAAACTGACTGACAAGCTCCGCTAAAAGTAATCGTGTCCTGTGTCGACAAAGAACAAACATAACGTTCACAGTTGTGTTACTTAGAAAGTTTTATGAATGTATTCATTCACTGCACATGTATAAGACAAAAACAATAGATTAGAAACACCGAACTCGAACATTCACTTTGGATTTTATTACTATTATTTCGAGGAATTCCAAGTAAGACGTCATTATATTTTACTAACTACGACTTACGGAGTCTCCTTTTTGAAATTCGAGTTATAGAGTATAAATATGTGTTATCAATACTTCGGGAAATAACATTTTGTTCGAGTTACTAAGTCTAAATAATTTCAGATACCGTATTTAGGAGTTCAGCGGAAGGGAATGGCAATTTTTTCCGACTGAGGATTTTGACTTAACGAGGTTCGAGTTATAGAGATTCCACTGTATTACATTCAAAAATCCAAATACATAACACATAACTTTTAATAATTTTAGTGTGAGATAAAGATATTACCTTGAACAATTATTCTGTCAGTCTCCAGATTCAGATGACTCTCTAAGTCTTCCTCTTTTTCTTCTCCAATCCGCAATAATTCCTGATCTTCTTCTTCTTTTAAATCTTCTGGCAATTTTGAAACTAAGCCGTTTTCCGTTGCACCATCTTCACTATAGTCGGCCTGAGATTTTTTGAGTTAAGATGCGAGTGAACAATATGCGGGTTTAAATATGTCGTATTGACTTTCGACAACAATAATTTTCATTCTTTTTATAGGATAAGGGTGATAAAAAGGGTGATTTTGATTATTTTAAAATTAAACAGATCATTCTTCAGAGGTGGTTTTACTGATAGGGCGCAAACATTCTATTTAGAAAGGTGGTAAAATATTTAATGAAACTATTTATCTGACACCGAGATTGTGACATACCTCAGTTCATTGAAAAGGGTCAAAAAATAACTTGAGTGCGCTCGTGTGTACAATTAAATAATGAATTACATGAGCTGAAATGTAAAGAAGTGAATTAAATGATATTGGTAATTTTCTTGCGAGCCGTGTACGTGAAAGAAATGACATACATGTGTAATGAATAGCTAAAGGTACGAGTAACGGATACGAATAAATAATATTGTAAATTTTCGTGAAAATCAAAACATAATTTTATGTTATACATAATTATGCCTGATTATGTCGATTATACCTTTTTTTATTTAAAAGAATATTAGCAATGCTACAAACATTACTAATATTCCCCTTAACCACTCGTGCTAAGCTTAAATTGCTTGTGTTACGAGTGGTTCACGCAGTAGTCGAATGGCGGATTCGAACCCACGACCTTTTTGAGTTCGCGGTCCGCGCCCTGCCATTAGGCTACTGTCGCTTCACATACTACTGTGACTATGCATTTTTGCGTGCTAGATATGTCTTAGATTATAGTTTTCATAATGATATTAACCTTTTTTAGAATAATCTTAAGGATCTATTTTAAGAATTGATAAAAAAAATATAGATAGCATATTTTTTTATTCTTTTGTCGGTGGGAGGTGTAGTGTAGTGCTCCCACGTTAATATACTTTAGTGTTAAGGTAGAATAATGAGGCAGTCTAATTAAAGTTTTAGTACCAACCACACGTCTCCTTCATTAACACCTTTCCTATATTACAATATTATGCGTCGGCGACGGCGCAGCGCGCGCAGCAAAGAGTGTGTGTGTGTGTCTGTGTGTGTGTGTGTGTGTTTGTGTGTGCGTGCGCGCGCGCGCGTGTGTGTGTGTGTGTGTGTGTGTGCGTGCGTGCGTGCGCGTGTGCGTGCGTGTGTGGGCGTGTGCGTTCGTGTGTGCGCGTGTGCACGTGCGTGCGCGTGTGCGCGTGCGTGCGTGTGTGGGCGTGTGTGCGTGTGTACAAGTAGAAAGGATACTATGCGTCAGCGACGGCGCAGCGCGTGCAGTAGAGTGCGTGTGTGTGTGTGTGCGCGCGCGTGCACAAGCAGAAAGGATACTATGCGTCAGCGGCGGCGCAGCGCGTGCAGCAAAGTGCGTGTGTGCGTGTGTATGTGTGTGTGTGTGTGTGCACGCGTGTACAAGTAGAAAGGATACTATGCGTCAGCGGCGGCGCAGCGCGTTCAGCACTGTGCGTGTGTGTGAGTGTACACGTGTACAAGTAGAAAGGATACTATGCACCAGCGGCGGCGCAGCGCGTGCAGCAGTGTGCGTGTGTGTGTATGTGTGCGTGTACAAGTAGAAAGGATACTATGCGCCAGCGGCGGCAGAGAGCATGCAGCAGCGCGCGCAGGCGCGCGCGGCGGCACGCAGCGGCGGCGCGCGGGTTGTGCGCGGCCGCCTGCACGCGCGCCCAACATTCCGCGCGACGCGCGCGCAGCGCCACCACCAGCCGCGAGCACACGCGCGCGCCGCACGCACGCTCTGCACCATTAGTACCATGCTTATAATACCGCTCACAACCTCTCCCATGTAATACGAGACAAGTACGATGACATCACAGCGGAGCGCTTGACCCTACATACGTACTACTTCTGCATATCATGGGATAAATCCGATGATTCACAGTGAGATACTTTTACACTATGCGAAATACAGAGCGCCTAGTCTTACGTCGTGAAGCAATCTAACAAACAATGTGATGCGTACTACTCGTGCATAATAACACAATCAAACGAAAGTATAACAATTTAAAAACCCCCTTAATGTCAGGCGATGCCGCCACTTATTTAAGTATTTACTAAGTATAAGTATCGCACGTATCTGCGATTTGGTTGAGGAGGCGTAGCGCGTGGCACATGGCCGTGCGCACACGCATCATCCGGCCACGTGCGCGCACCGGCATGCTGCCGAGCGTACGAACCTGCATGTGGTACTGCCGGACACACGTACCTGCATGTGGTGCTGCCGGTCGCACGTACCTGCACGTGGTGCTTGCGGGCACACGTACCTGCATGTGATGCTGCCGGGCGTACGTACCTGCATGTGGTGCTGCCGGTCGCACGTACCTGCACGTGGTGCTTGCGGGCACACGTACCTGCACGTGGTGCTGCCGGGCGCACGTACGTGCATGTGGTGCTGTCGGTCGCACATACCTGCGATGTGGTTGAGGCGGCGCAGCGCGCGGCACATGGGCGTGCGCACGCGCAGCGTCCGTCCGCGCGCGCGCACCGCCATGCTGCCGCCGCGCACCATCTCGCCGAGCCGCGCGCACGTCTTCTCGTTCACTGACGTCAACTTGCGCCGCAGCTCGCCGTAGTTTATCAACGCGTAAAGCTCTTGCGCCACTTTCTTTACGTCTGTTCACAGGATGAACGTTTTAATTTTTCAAGGTTTTTTTTTTAAATTAAAAGGAGGCAATGGAGCACATGGTTTGCCTGAGGGTAAGTTATCTATGTACAACATGCGTTGTCGGCCTTAATTAGAAAGAAGTAGGCTCTTTCCTTAAAGGTCCCTAAGTTGGAACGGTTCGAAAAAACTGTTAGCGACAGTAAATTCCACAATGTAATCGAGTCGAGCACAGCAGAAAATTACGCGTAAATCGTACGGTAGTGGTCTGCCAGCCAACGCGATGATGATGATGGAATTTCGAATTCTGTTGCAACTTTAAGAGTGACCAATAAGTAAATATTTTCTTTTAACATGGTAGAATCACGATGCAACTATAATATAAGCAACACGAGTGGATCGGCTCAACCAGGGTAAAACAGCAATGCCGTGTTTCGTATGGCGAGGGTAAAGAACCGAAGACTCCTTTTTACTGGAAACAAGGCACTCCATTCCAAGTCTCAGGGGCGACTACACTTCTATTATGTGTAGTATTTTGATTCTTAATCGAGGATAGATGTAGATGTAGATGTCTATGGACCACAGCATACACTTAACATCGGTACACACGGTTTTGTATTTCGGTGTAGTCTCTACCACGTTATACGTGGTTCATGCTGCATACAGTTGTAGCGCGAAGGGGTCGGCTCGACCGGGAAAGGACCAAGTTGTTACAGAATAACAGCGTGAAATATCAACTTAATGCTACTGTGTCTTCTATGGTGAGTGTAGAGAACCGGAAACTTTACTGGAAACGAGACATTCCATCTTAGTCCTCAAGGCTGACAACGCATCTGCATTTTGATTCTAAATCGATTCTTAATAGATGTAGATATATCTATGGGCCACAGCATCGACTTACCATTAAATGGACTGTGTGCTTCTATAAAAAAATTACGAATTTTATTGCGTTAATTTAAACTGTTTTAATTTCCGACATTTCGGGATCTTTATAGCACCCATGGTCACGGGCAGGACCGATACTCTTATAGTAAACGAGGGCTACTTTCAACTTTAAGTTCATAATTTTGGTCCAATCTACGCAGAACAAGTGATCGAGAATGATCAGTAATAATCATTCAAATATTTGCAAAGTTAAAGTAAAAATACGGTTTTGTCGTGGTAGGGCCTTGCTGAAGCTGTTACCTGTGAATACCATTACGGAAAACCAGCGACCAACAGCAATATAATGCTTTTCGTAAAGTGAGTGTTAAGAACCGAACATACTTTTTTACTATTTACGAGGCGTTCCATCTTAGTTATCAGGGTGAAAATGCATTTGCATCTTGATTCCAATTGAGGATATATGTTACAGTTTGGCAAAATGTAAAATATGACCAATATACACCCTTTTTAGAAATAAATAAAAAAAAGATATCTATGGGCCACAGCATTTACTTATCATCAAGTGAACTTTGTGCCCGCTTGTCACCCTTATTCTTTAAAAATGTTCTATTGATCGTAAGTAACTAATGACTACAAATCTTATAAGTTCTTTACTAGTGAAAAGAGACCTTAAAATTATTTTTTAAAAAGAGTTTACATAAGTTTATTTACTGTTTACGAACATCCATCACATTGCACTTCTGATTAAGTTTTTAGAAAATTTATTCCTTCTACTTTCAGAGATAAAAACTAGAATTCTCTATAAAGAAAAAAATATTGGTAAATTTAGTTAATATACTGAGATTATTACGCGTTTCATTATTTCCAAAATGTAAATTTAAAAAAATACTCACTCTCATCAAAGTGTACATGCTTCGACAGTTTATGCCAAGTTCTGTAATAGAAATGGCTGACTTGGGTTTTAGTCTTCAGATTCGCATCCGGCATGCCCTTCTTCTTCATCTTGGCGCAGATGTATGCGGTGATTGCGTCGAAGTCCTTGCCATACTCGTTCAGAGCTTCGAAGAACAGACTTTTTTCATCAGCAGACCAAAGCGCTTTAGGCATACGCTGTTTGACCGTCGGGAATGTTGGAATTTCCTTATCGAGGTCTTTGTTTGGTGTTTCACATTCCGGTGTTTCTGGAAGAAGTTCGTATTTATTCAAGTTTTTTTTTCACTGTCACAAGCGCTCATCGAATATACATTATACCGCTTATAATGTATATTCGATGAGCGCTTGCGTTAAAATTTGTTTGTACAAGAAAAAACTGGCTTCGATGTCTGCAGGCACTAATGAAACTTATTAAACATTTTTTAGCTTTCATTGTGACTGGCTGTCGTCACTGAAATTCGGTTCGGAATAATTACCGTTACAGGTTCCAAAAGTTTACAGCTGATATAGACCTTGTTATAGATTGCCTCACAGGGAGAATATCTACCATAATTGCCACGCTTGCTAGGCGAGTTGGCAACCAGAGGTTTTTATTATTTTAAGTTGTTATCAGGAGGATGCTGCCGCCCTGTGACCACTTGATCAGTATTCCTGTACAAACCAGTGACTTTTCGTATATACCAGATGCTTGGGGTTGGCAATCGCAGTTTTTTTTTAATTTGTTATTATGAAGACGCTGCAACCCATCTACTGGTATGTTTCCTTCTGTCGCCCCTTACAACACCCATGGGACGATATGGAGCAGTGGATATTTTTTTAAAGAATATTAACAATGCTATAAACATTACTAATATTCCTCTTAACCACTCGTGGTAAGCTTAAATTGCTTGCGTTACGAGTGGTTCACGCCAGTAGTAGAATGGCGGATTCGAACCCACGACCTTTTTAAGTTCGCGGTCCACGCCCTGCCATTAAGCTACTGTCGCTTCAAATATTTATATATAGGATATTGTTACACCGCCACTACACGGTCATACATACGCACGCACATATTTAAAATTATTAAGTTATAATAATCCTGAGTAATTGGTCGGACTAATTCCAGCCGCACAATTTTACCATCGCACATCGCGGCAAAACTCGCGATACCATCCACACCATCTGGATGATTAGCGGTCCACCTCTGTGTGATGTAAAATAAGTTTTCTTCCTCGCACAACTTCCTTGTGAAATCGACTACCGCCAGGGATTTTCCCGGACTACCTAGCCTACTCCTTTTTAGAAGGCCGGCAACGCAGATGCAATTCCTCTGGTGTTGCAGTTGTTCATGGGCGCCGGTAATCACTTACCATCAGGTAAGCTGTATGCCCGTTTGAAAGGAGTAAGCTCTAAAAAAAATTGCCGTTGGTAAACGATTTCACAAAGAGGTTGTGCGAGGAAGAAAACTGTTTTATTCTTTTTGACACTGTTTACGTAAATAGATTTTCTATAAATAATTGTATGTATATTTTTGTTTGTTGTTAATATTTTAGTAGAATTTATATGTATTTTATAGAAAATACATCCATTAACAATTTTAAGGCTTCAAGAAAAGAGTTTTCTCATAGCATTAAATACATTTTGTTATCACACACAATTTTTGTATAGTAATAAAATCCAAGAAAAATACGCAAGGACTCACCTCGCTTGTCGGCTGGTGGTTCCAGTCGAAGCTTCTTGATAACTCTGGCGCTGGTGCGCTGTTGTTGTTGCGTGGTCAGAGAGCCGAGGAGTTCAGTACGCTCATCGTCCATTGCAGGTGGAACTGGGGTCGGAGCGCCCGGGGACATCACCATCTCCTTTGCAGCTGCCTGTCAACAATACCTTATATTTAGTTCTGATTTGTATGAGCCCCACTAGTTCTGTACAATCAAATAATATATATATATATATATATATATTTATATATATATATATATATATATATATATATATTGCCTATAATAATGCCATAATTAATGCCTGGTTCTTGTCACTAGCGCCATCTAGTACCGAGTAGCAGAGCTAATTCTTCTAGAGAATTCCATACTCGAACTTTCTACACCTAGTCAGTCGGGACCGGTATTTACTCAAACATTTTAGATGTTTCAGTAGAAGAGGGTCTATATACATAAAACCGGTTAAGACTGCGACCGAGGCAGTATTGAATTGACGATTCAAGCGAATGCTCGAAGCATTATAAAAGCGAAGCGATATAACTGCGAACTAAAGTGATCAGTAGTACAATTGTGTTTTATTATTAGTGTGTTTTAAGTGGTAATTGGTGTTCGGTCAATTTTGGTAATTCAATCGGCAGTTTTTAATTGTCGCGAACCCCAAGCTCGTAACACCATTAAGGCAAAAATATTTTTTTTAAATCCAGGCTAATCTTCAGAATGGGTGAAACTGTACGAACAGATAGAGAGCAAGCCAGGAGGAATAAAGCCTTTTTTATTTTTTTCTTTTAATTTTTTTTATAGGATAGGGTGACAAACGAGCACACAGTCCATCTGATGGTAAGTGGTTGCTGCGGCCCATAGACATCTACATATATCCTCGATTACAAATCAAAATGCAGATGCGTTGTCACCCCTGAGGACTAAGATGGAATGCCCGGTCTCCGGTTCTCCACACTCACCATACGAAACACAGCAGCATTAAGCTACTATTTTACGCTGGTATTCTGTGAGATTAATTAATGAAAAATTGATAAAATAAACTATCTTTTATTTTCTTAAATCCAAATAACACCACATAAATCCTAGTCAGGCGAAGTCAGTGCCGGTCGGCAGTTTGGTATAAAAGCCACAACCTCTATTGGGGTAACATGCCAACTATAAAGTAAAATTACAGTAAATTCATAACTTCTGGGGGTATTTTCAGTAGCCTTACTGATAAGACTTTCGCAAGTAATCTTACTAGTGACGATTTGGTAAGACTACTTGGAACTACGCGGCTTCCGCTCATTTATGAGAGGTTCGTGTAGCAATTAATTGCCGCGAAAAATTAAATATCGCGTTGCATTTAGCACATTAACAGACTTCATACGTAAACGCTATATTCATATAATTCAGACGTGGATGTTTCCTCACAATATTTTCCTTCGCCGTCGAGCACGTGGTAAGTCAGGACTTAAAATTTCAATAAACAATTTTATTGTTGACAACGGGAATCAAAGCTTAGGAATGAGTTACAGCAAGTATTTGTATGGCTTACAAATAATTGTTCAAGTTTTGTCCTTGTGATATTCATGATAATTGCTGTCCAAATTAAAAGAGACAATTCTATAGTGAGGGTCATGTTTTTATATATTAAATTAAATTACTACTATTAAAGTCCCCTGTAGAAAATAGTTATCTCAATATACTTATAAAGTTATTTACGTGGTAGAGCCACGCTTCAGCTATATTATAGTTGTAGGACGAATGGTCCTTTTACTGGAGTCGAGGCTTTCCATGTTACTCCTCCCCATAAATTTCCTCATAAGGGGGTTGTTTGCTATAGTTGCCACGCCTGGCAGGCGAGTTTTTTTGCTAATTTTTAATGGAAATACGCTGCTGCCTTTATTCTAGTTTGTTCCTAATGTAGCTTCTTACGACACCCATGGAAAGACACACAGTAATGGATAATTTTGTGTCGTATTTACACGGCCAATTATAATTAAGAAAAATTAACTCGATTGCAGTGATCTGTTATCAAATAGGAAAGAAGGATTGAATCGTCCCTTTTCTTGACACTTGCTAGATCAAAAATTAATTTATATATGTCGAATATTCCGAAGAATATGATGGCTGATGTGAAGAATCGACGCTCCGGGAAGTCTGCAGTCTGTGAACACGTACAGGATCGCCCCCGTCATTAAATCAGATTTGATAGACCACAAATCCTAGCTAAAAACACCGGTTCTTTCCAAGGATGGTTCCCGAGGCTGTTGAAATCAAAAAACATCCTAATTTAAATAGAGATGATGACTGGGTGCTACCATCTGCTTGGGATCCTATAATTAATAAAATTAAATCCCAATCCAAGCATACAACTACAAGACTTCAAGATACTATAAATTCATACTGCGTAGATCGGAACAAAAGTTAATAATTTTAATGCATGTGTAACCGCGGTACTCCGTGGCCATGGATGTTGTAAAGTGCTCGAAACGTCGGTAGTATAAAAAAGTTAATATACGCGATGAAATCCGTAAAATCTAGTTTTATATGAATTCCGAAAGACTTAGACGGCGGCGGTTAGATAACTCATTTGTACACAGATTCGTAAGTAGACACACCGTACCGGACCTCTGTCGTCCAGTTACGATTCACTAACTGAGTCACCATTATCAGTTCTCTGTATATATATATATATATACTAGCTTACCAGGCAGACGTTGTTCTGCCCTTTTCGGCGACCCTTTGTCATGTCCTATTAAAAATCCATAAAGTCGCAAAAAAAAATTGTGGGTCACACATGGGCAAAAAAAACTACCCTATCTCTCAAGTTGGACCAAATTGCACACGGTGTGCCAATTTGATTAAAATCGGTTAAGTAGCTTAGGAGTCCATCGCGGACAAACAACGTAATATGTAATTTATATATATATATATATATATATATAAATCCTAAAGCCGACGAAGCTGTAAAATTCAGCGGGATAACATTACAGAATGAAGAGTTTTTATTTAAAATAATCAAATACATTAAAAACAATATTACAATACTCAACAAAAAGTGTCAGAGAAGCAATTCATCATCATTGAATACTGATATTTTAAAGTCTTTATCTCGGAAGTAGTTTTTGTGGATCACGTAATTACGTCTAACTTTATGCACAAAACGTTTGCAATTTTTTTACATATAGTTTTTCTTTGGATTAAAATTATACTTATAATAAAAAGTTTTTTTACGTGGTAGAGCCAAGCTGTAGTAATATAGTAGTAGCACGAATGGGTCGACTTGACCGGGGCAGGACCACGCTCTCACAGGATACCAGCGTAAAATAGCAGTGTGCTGCTGTGTTTCATACGGTGAGTGTAGAGAACCGGATACCCTTTTTACTGGAATCGAGGCATTCCATCTTAGTCCTCAGGGGTGACAACGCATTTGCATTTTGATATATAAATGTGGCTGTCTATGGCCCACAGCATCTACTTACCATCAGGTGGACTGTGTGCTCGTTTGCCACAATATGCTACAAAAATAAAATAAAATCGACTGCAAAAACTAAAAGATTCAAATCATTTAATTTTAATGTCCATCCATCCATCCATCCAAGAGACCATCAGCACAGGACAGGCTTATAGTGCCGAATATACGCGCACCGGTGCACTCCACGCATTACTATTCCTTCACTCTCATAATCCGATGAGAGGGTAATCCGACAGGACCGGAGAGAGATCAGGCGCAAGAATCGACCTAGGATTCAATTTGGGGACCTCATAATCAATAGTCGCGTTAGCCAACAAGACCTAACGTTTAATTTTACAATTTTTTTTGAGTGGAATAAGCATATCACAAGTTTAATGTACCAACTAGAAGTGACCTTAGATAATTCGTCCCTTACTTTTCCACCCTTTACCTTTAAAGTCAGTACAAACGTTTCCGAGATTTGGTGGACATATATAATATCATATTCGTCAAATTTTTGTACTTTTTACAGGAGAGGGGCAAACGAACTTGCGGCTCACCTGATGGTAAGTGATAACCGTTGCCCATGAACAACTGCACCACCAGGACAATTACAGATGCGTTGCCGGCCTTTCAAGAAGGAGTAGGCTCTTTTTTTGAAGGTCCCTACGTCGTACCGATGTACGGAAAAATCTCTGGTGGTAGTTGATTTCACAAGGAAGTTGTGCGAGGAAGAAAATTTCTTTTAAATCGCACAGTGGTGGATTGCCAGCCATTCAGAGGCTTTGATATTATTAATCCGCAACCTTGAGTTATAAGTAGTGTACAACGATATCCGTAACGTATACGTAGTAGTATATATGGGATAGTCTTTAAATGAAACTAAATTTTACAGATTTTATCACATATATTAAGTTAATTGCGTATATTATCAAATTAATATACGCGATAGAATCCGTAAAATCTAATTTCATTTAAATGTGTAGTGTTCACGTAAACATTAGAAATCGTTATAGATAATCTTTTTTTTATGTGAAACTTTTTTTGCTGACTGAATTGTCTACTTATTTCATAGCGCCTTCTTGAAAGTGCAAATATAAAATAAGTGTAAACATAAAGGTCACTGCACTGGGGTTGATTTTTTAACCGAACAGTTTACGTTACATCTTTATGACTGCAGCTAGAATGGATCGTGAATGGCTCCCATAGAATACAAACGTAAATAGCAGAATATTACTGCTGTTTTTTGGTAGCGAGCCGTTACTTACTTTACTACCACGTTAAACTACGAAAAATATAATGATTTTATATTAACATGAATATTTGACATTGAATAAAACAAATTATACGGATTTTAACGCACTTAATTTAACAATATTTTTTTATAGAATAAGGGTAACAAACGAGCTCATAGTCCACCTGATGGTAAGTGGATGCCTAGGCACATAGACATCTACATTTAACCTCGATTAAGAATCAAAATGCACATGCGTTGTCACCCCTGAGGACTAAGATCGAATGCCTCGATTCCAGTAAAACGGGCCTTGAGTTCTCTACACTCACAAATGTGGATGTCTATGGGTCACAGCATACCATCAGGTGGACTCTGTGCTCTTTTGTCACTCCCAATGCTATAAAAAAACTAGCAGTTTAATACTGCTATGTTTCGTATAGTGAGAGCGTAGATAAAATT